GTGCTGTGCCCCCTGCCCTGGTGAGTGCAACACTTGTTTAACCGGTACCGAGCGCTTCCCGCATAAGGGGACTGTGGGGGGTCGCGGGCCGCTGCTGTGGCGTGGGGTGGGGGGCTGGAAGCGGAGTCCCCGCTTCCCGGGATGAGGCCCTGGGAAGTGTTTTCTCGGGAGCGGGGAAAAAGATGTTGCAGCGGGATGAGCCGCACCGGAGGAACCGCGAAGTGTGGGAATTCGTTTCACTTTCTCGAGCTGGGAATGCCATTAAGGCTGGAAAAGCAGCGCTGGAATTGGCGCCGTGCGCGCCGCTGGTGTGGAAGTCTCGGAGGTTGTAAAATAAGTCAGCGGGAGCTAAAACACAGCAGCTTGACAAAAAGGGGAGAAAAAGAACAACCCCCCCATCACAGTGCTCGCACTTCATTGAGTGTTTTTTTACTTTCCCCCCTTAGGGGGCAGAGCTGGAGGAAGTGGAGAAGTAAAGCGCTGCTCTGGGAGCCTCCCGAGGTGTGCTCGAGGGTTTGCTCTTGGGGAGCAAGCCAGGGAGATGCTCCCAGGGGCCAGGGGTAGCGCCGGTTTGCGAGGCACTGAGATTTTGAACCCCATTTCAATGCGAGCAGGAAGGAAGGGACCAGAAACAGATTGCCGGCAGCCTCTGCTGCTTGCATTTCTATCCCGATGCTACTTAAATCTTGTTCAGTCCTCCTGGAGCCCTTCAGAGCATTTGAACGCTGTCTTTTGTTTCTAGCCCTGATTATCTGAGATCAGCTGAAATGACTGAAGTGATGATGAACACTCCAGCTATGGATGAGATCGGGCTAAGCCCCCGCAAGGATGGCCTGTCATATCAGGTAAGTGCTTTGCCAGCTTCTTAGGCAGTAATCCCCTATGGAGTTACTTGGGCTGGACTGCAGACTTGGTCTAATGTACCTTTCCCTATAGCCTGACCTAATCACAGGTCCTGCTGTAGTGAGAACTAGTCAACAGCCTGGAATGCTTGCTTGGCAGGAGACGGTTGTCTAAAATATCACTTGGTATCAGACCAGATTGGCAAAGGACTTGGTTCTTTCCAAAGGGATTGAGCCCACACATTCAGTGTTTATGGGGGCTTGGTGGGAGACAGAGAGAATGGTTAATGGAGGGTTTGCATCACTGGGCTGAGAGGACTCTTGAGGTATCCGCAACACAGTGTACAAATGACTGCCTAGAGCACGGGAGAGTTATTTATATGGCATTATTTTTGGATGTTTCTTGGTTTTTCCAGACTCAAGGTCCCATTTGAGATGGTTAATACTCTTCTGTAAGATACGGTGAGGCCAGAGACAGCCTAAACAAGCCTTGAAATGTCACTGGAGATACCAGTGCCTGAAGGCATGAGCTGCATTCATTCTGAAAGTTCTGAACAATGTCGTTATCTATTAACCTCTAGATCAATGACTGGGGTTAAGATGTGGTCTTAGAAACTAGCCTGAGTCTCAATATCCCTTTCATTTCCTAGCTTGTAGTTAATCAAAGGGTAAGTTGTGCATCTTAGCCTATCCGTGTTCTCCTACTCTTCCAGGAGACTTGTTGATGGGATTTAACACAGGTAATGTGTGCGTGCAGATGACTTGCATCTGGTCTGTGTGTTGGTTGACTCTTAACTGGCAGATCCCGATGCAGGGCTCTTCATTTGCAGATGTTACACAACCTGCACAGAGGCAGTTGCTCTAAGTGTTCATTCAAATGAGGAGTGCTGTTGTATACTTGCATATTTACATCTGAAAAATGAGCTACAAGGCAGCAACAGTGCATTGAAGCATGAAGTCAACTGAACTTTGGGGCCTCCAGCCAAAGCCATGGGGAGGAAGAGGAGATGCATTGCTTTTTTTGGTCAGAATTCTGGATGTGGATAGTGCAAGTTATTGGTTTATAGCTCTGCTGTGCCTCAGTGCTTGAGTTAGTGGAAAGCATATGGACTTTCTTTCCTATAGAGGAACTGTACAGCAATGAGAGTGGTTGTTAAACCTGAAGCAATCAAACTAGCTTGTATGGGATGCTCAGTTGTCTTTTGTGGGTCACCTTATGAAGAGGCTTAACCCAGTCAGGTTAAATGCCTCTATTTACCTATACAAATTTTACAGTGAGAAGCAGAATCTAGGTGCTCTGCTTGTCCTAATGATTGCTTCAGTGAGGTTTTTCCTCTGATGCTAATGACCTTGATAAGTCTGCTTGGGACAACTGGGGAACAGGCCTGTTCGGTTTTGAGTAGATCATCTGAACATGAAGGTATGTGAGTCATAAATGCTGGCAGCTCATACCTATGCAGGGCTTTTGCATCCTGGATCTCTTCTCTCTAGTGGTCGAGTCACAGATGACTTCTTTCAAATGCCTGCAGGAGCCGGGGACCGCCTGCCAGGGCTTCACCTTGATGTAAGCTAAGCTGATGGCAGGAATGGTTGAGGTGTTGAAATGGATGATCCTGATGGAGTACTAGTGGTGTGTGGGCTGTGTACAAGGTCTGCTTCTAAATCAGATTAGTGTAAAGAGGATTGGGGAGGAGGCTCCTGCCTTCCTCCTCTGGCTAAGGATGTCACAGTGTAAATCAAGGCAAGTTGAAAGCATCCTTAAACGGCTGAAAACTCAAGTTACAACAGCAAGGACAAATCTGATGCAAAGTGCATCATGAACTCTTTGTTCTACCTCAGACTGTGGCACTTTGTGCTTAATCTTGCTGATGGAAAGCGTTTGGTACATGGAAACTGTATGGTAGTCTGAGGGCTGTAGTGCAATAACTTAAAACCAGACAGGGCTAATGGAGCATGACTGTTCCTACACTGGGGCTTGTTGTTCTAAGCCTCAACGTCTTCCTCTGATCATCTGCAGAGTTGGGCACTCGTGATACGAGTGTAACAGTCTTTGGCTGACTATGAGAGGCAAAAAAGTAGAGCCAGAACGGGGAAACGCAAGCTTTCGGTTTCAAAGGTTTCTCTTGTTCAAGTAGTAAACTTGGATTTATTTTGCTGCAGAGATGACCTCAAACCAAGGTTCAAAATACCCCCCTTCAGGCTGTGTAGAGTGGGCACTGCCTGGGAGGTGGTCCGTAAGATGCTAGTTGTGAGCCTGGGGGCTGTTTCTGCCACCATGGGCAGGCATGAAACTGTCTCGACCAGAGGAGATGGTACAGCAGCTTTGTGGGAACTGTAAAGCATGTTAGTATCTGCTACAGACAGACTTGTCCTACCAGCACTACTGTTCCAAAGTATTTTTGCCTTTACTTGGAAGCAAACCGAGGAAACAAACTCATACCCTGAGTATAAACTTCAGCAATCTGATTCCTCTGTCCTGTGGAGTTCACTGAACTTCAGGGCTCCTGTCTGTCTCGCTGGTTGCAGAGGGAACTTGGCATAAGGAAGAAGTTGACAAGCCTTCTCTATCCCCTTGCCTTTGCTCATGGTCTGCAGTGTCTGCCTAGACATCAGCTGAACCTGTGCACATTGCCCCAGTGAAGTTTCCTGGCCTTTGCTGGGCTGCCCATCACTGCTTTTTAAGCAATGATGCGAGAAAACTCAGATTGCAGAAGTCATATCTGTGTAGGTTTAGTAATTTGTACATTTACACTTGCAAAATGCACTTTCTCAGCATAGAAATGCCTTTTTTCAGTTAATATGCAAAATGTTTGTAAGCTGATGTGCTAATTTTAACAGATTTCTATATAAAGCAGCTTTTATTATTGTATTTGTGCTGTAAAGCTGCTCTCTGAGCCCCCTGAAGATGGTTCAGCCAGCAGATTTAAGGGGTCTGAGCAGAAGTGAATGGTGAAATCAGGGCATTAGTCTCGGAACAGGGTGGCATAGACCAAACAGAAGATGCAGCTTTAGAGATGATGTCATGCTGGGTCTTGTGCCTGCAGTGAAGAGCTATTTCTGGATCTTTAATAGATGTCCCATAATTCCTATGGGACTTACTAAACAAAAAACTCCTTGAAATGCAACTGATGGCTCAAGATGCCCCTGCTACAAACAGATGTGCCTATGGAGGGCTTCATGGGCTTCCTGCCTGGCAATCTCCAATGAGCCAGGTCCTTATCACTGTCAGTCTGAGCTAATCTATCCTTTGCTATTTCCTAGCCCCTAGATATACCTGTTCTCTGAAAAGCTTCCTCAGCACTCTGCCAGCTTGTCCTCTGCTGCCATATCACAGCAGCACAAATGATGCTACAGAAACTGAGGCTGAATTAATCATTTTGTAGAGCTGTTGTCAAAAGAGTGCCTAGCTGCTTGGAAGTGGAGCAGGGTCTGAGCACAACTGAAATCACTTTAATGCCCAAAGTGTTTTATTTTGAGCCAATGCTGTGTCCTGAGTTCAGTGTGCTACTTTGCTGCAGACTGGCTTGCTGGTCCTGTGGGACCTTAGCTTCCCTTTTAGGACATCGGCCTGTGGAGGCTCAGCTTGCCTCATGCCATCAGCTGGGGTTTGGTTGTCATGGGGAGCTTGAGCTCTTTCGGTCATGATCGCATTATGCTGTCTAGGTTAATAGCAGTTACAGTTAGCTGTGAATCATGCCAGACCAAATCTAGGTAAATAGGCTTAACACTCCACCTGGTGTCTATGGTGAAAACTTGGGTTGTCTCTTTTGTTGGGGAAATAATTTTTGGTGAATGCAACACCAGCACCAGTGAAGCACTGACTTTCCCAAGGAGATGTGGTGCTTGGTGCTGAGGGGTTCGAGTTGCATCTGCTACATTCCCTCCCACCTAAACGTGGGACCAACATGTTACCAATCCAGGTGCTGATGGCAAAGGGTGGAAATTGAGCTTCCTCTCTAATAGCCTTGCTTGCTAGTAAGGTGCTTCATGGCTGTGCTGCCTTGATTTGTGCAGGGGAAGTCCTGTAATAGAGCTGGCGCTTGCTACAGAGAAAGATCTTGAGCCTGGGCTGAAAAGAGTTGAGGGTAGCAAGCAAGTTGTGGATAACTTGCTCACACAGCACATCCGATGCATGTTACTAGACAAGATTAATAGGCTGAGTCAATGTGTATTCCAGGGTCTGGGATGTTAAATGAGGGCAGAAGCAGGATATGGGATAAACAGAGCCAAAACTCATCATGTTTGCAGCTATGTGAAGAAGTGTTCCACTGAAATGCAAACTGAGGACAGCAGCTCATCACAACATCTTGATGCATGTTTTTTCCTCCCTCCTTGATACCTTGTTCCTCTGATGGAAGGTTGCTGTGATGTATGAAGTTTCCCTGACACTGTGTTCCGAGATAGGACAATCTGTGACTGGGGAGTTGTTGCAGTTCATAAACCTGAGTCAGAGGCTGTTGTGTGCATACTAGATGGAGCTTGGTTTTGAGTCATAACTACTGTGTGAGTAAATGTAGGCATTAGCACTGTTAGAGCTGGAAAAATCCTCCGAAGAGGACACCAAGAGATGATTTAAGTATTTCCTGAAGTGAGCTTGCCATGCTTCTCAATGGCAGTAAAGTTTTATTTTAAGAGCTGAAATGCTGATGTGGGGTTTGGAATATTGGCTTGATACTGCTGAAGAGGCACAGAACTTAGCTTTTTTTAGTGGGAGGATGAGTGATATGTGTACGTCAGGGGTGTATCCTGTACCTGAAGTGTTATGCTTCTCAGTACACACTTTTCAGTCTTGTATTAGCATAGCGAAGCAAAGGTTCTTCCCCAAGACAGTAACTTAATTTGGAAAGATCTCATTGCTTTAGTCTCCCTGTAATATAATTGAAATAGTTTTCATCCCCATGGGGGGGGAGACAAGCATTTTTAACTATGGGTGTTGGTATGGAGGGCACATGTGGAAGTTGTTTTGAATTTACAAGTGTCAGTTGGATTATGGTAGTGCTGAGCTAATCCTCTTAACTGTCTGACATCTCTCCTGCTTTTGGTGTTTCTCCATCCCTGTGAATGCTGAGAGAGGGTATGAGCCTCCCCAGGGCGGTGAAAACTTTCCATTCTTGTTGCCAAGCCTTCATTCAAGGATTGAGCTGGATCATCTGAAACGGAGGTGAACATGATCTTGCTAAAATCATTTCAAGCTTTTGTTTCAAGTTCTGTTTTTCACTGCCCTTTCCAGCTGCAAGGCAGGAGTTCAGTTGATTTGTAGGTGATCTGGATCAGTCCTGGTTCCCAAAACACGGTCTGGAGAGGCTTTGGGTTTTGTCTTGCTGCCAGTGAGAAGCTGTGTTGAGAAGTGTAAGAAGGAACATATATGTCCTCTTCAGGCTCAAAAGGTGTTGGATATATCTCTCTATGGGCTAGGAACTGGGGCTCAGCTACAGAAGGGGGGGGATCTGTAGAACAGTTTCAGCCTCTCATGCTGCATCATTCAAGTGTGTGTGTAAGATACCTTTGAATTGCTGCTAAGTTTGGTCTTGGGTAGCTTCAATACAAGTTGGTGGCTGTCACATGTCCTCCCCCCTCAAGTGACCAGGTCAGCCAGAAGTAGGCATCTGCTTCAGTTGTGTGCAAGGTGTCTCCCTGTGATGAACAAGGGGGAGAAGTTAATCCCTTGCTGCCAGGCTCTTTGGGTGGTGGGGAGATGCAAAGTCTTCCTCCCACATCCATGAGTTGGGTACTGTGAGCAGAGATGCTCATAGGCAGGTTTTGCTAAGTGTGCTGCACAGAGGGTGCAGAGCTCACAGGTCAGAGCCGAGCTGCTGCATTCCCAGTGGGGACCTTGCTGCAAGCTTCAGCGTTGTTGTTTTTCCTTCCCATTGTCTAAATCTGGAGTGGGACCAGATTAGACATATGGGACCAACAAATGCAGTGTGGCACTGCTGGTGTGGAACAGCAGAAAACCGGTGCTTGCTTATTTTAATAGCCTGGCAATGCAGCTTATTTTGGGGTAAGAGGGGAGCCTGGTTTGGAGTAACTTTTCTATGTGGCTTCCCCAGAGGTATGGTCAGTCTTAATCTGAAACCCTGTTTTCTTTGGTCCCGATGCTTGGCCTGCCATGACACCCTGCTCGTCACATGTGAGGAAATCTGCCTTTGTGTATTTTTTCCATTGACTGTCCACACCCCTTGAAAGTGCAGTTGCAACATCTCGCTTCATGCTGCCTCGACGATTAAAAAGCATGACTTAGTGGAAAAAATCCTGACCTTCTGGGGCTCGGCCTGTCCTACAGCTGCTTGAGATAAGATTGTGGTAGTTTTTTATTATTAAAAAAGCTGCACACCACATTTTGTGAGTATTTGTTTGTAAGGAAGTGACTGCTACTTAGTTTCTGGCAGGCTATTTTCAAAGAAATTGCTCCAATTTGACCTAATGTGCTTAAAATGATAGCAGCCAAAGGTTAGTTTAATTATTATACTCTTATTTTTCTTGCACAGGAGGCTATTTTCATGACATTATCAGCTTATGTAACCTCCTGAACCACACTTCTTTTTTCCATTGCAACCTTCTAAACCATGTAATGTCAAGGGTATTTTTTTCCTATCCTGAGTTTAGATAATGAGTTGATGCTTAAGAGTCACTGACTGAACTTCCAGTAATGCACCATGTATCTGAAACTGCCTTTGTTCGGCCAAGCAGAAGCCACGAAGCTGCCAGAAACAGTTGTGCTGGGGGTGACTAGTAGCAAGTAGCTCATCTTGCAATGTTCATGTTAGCATGGCCATGCTCAAAGACCTCCCTTGCTCTTGTGCACCTGAAAAGCATATGGAAGATGGGTGCTATAGCAGGAGCTGAGCTCCTGCACCACTGTCCTCAGGACCAGATGGGTGTGTGTGATGGATGTGTGTGAACAGCCCTAGTTGGGGATTCCCTTCAGTTAACCTTGCCTGACTGCACTAAGTAGTAACCCAATGGCTTTCTCATGTTAGTAACCTGGTTGCTTTGGATGCAAGGAAGAAATGTGGCTGAACAGTAGAATGCTGAACATATTGATAAGGAGGTAATGGTATAGTTAGTTGCTAGGCTGAAGGACAAGTTGGTAGGATGTTCCACTTTGGGGTTTGGGCCAGTGTTTCCGAAGGTGGTGAGTACCTGCATGATTGGTATAGGGAGAATGATGCTTCGTGGTTAATGCTCAGGGTTTCTGGATGGGGAGCTTTTATAACTGGAACCACAAAGATCAAAGCAGATCAGATCTTGCTCTCAAACTGAGGTGTTTGTGAGCAGCGTGCCCGTGAGGCTGGCAGTGCTGTTCCCTGCCAAGATGCTCTTACAGCTCACTTGAATTCAGGTGATATTTGAAGGAAAATGTAGCACCTCACCCCATCTACAACCTTGAAGAGAAAATGCATTTTGTCATTATCTTGAGACTGTTTAAATACACCTATAATGCAAAATGGGCACTCTAAGATTGTTTGAAATAAGTATAGATTGTAATTGTTTGATATTCTGTTTACCAGCCATAGGGGTTCTGATGTGGCAGTTGGTTCTTGTCACCCAGGAGTTCTCTTCGGGATGAGCTGGTGTTTGAAGCTGTTCCCTTAGTAGGACAGCCTTAAAAGTAACAGCAACCTCTTCAGTTCACACTGCAATTTCAGTCATGCAAAGCTCCTGCTAACGCTGCAGTTGGCAGTTTTTCCTGTACCCATGCCTTTGCCTCAGTTCCCAGTAGGATCAAAGCGTGCATACCATTGGCACTGCCAGCAAGTATGGTCTTTGGTGCTGCTGGTATGTGCAGCACCACAAGTGCTTCAGTGTATGAGCTTGTGCATCCACGTGGGATGGAAGGGGTAAGGTACTCTTCTGTGCACCTTGGAGGGGCTGGAGATAACGGGCCTCATTCCTTGCACAAGGAATATGGTGCATAATTGTTGGCTATGCTGCAGGTACCTCCTGCCTGAAGAAATATGGTCCAGTCTCCAACCCATCCATAAAATGAGCATCCTTCTGCTCAGTTTGCTGAAGAGTGGTAGCTGTAGCATGCAGAGCACTGCTAAAATTATCTCTAAAATGCAGCTGAACTTCTCTTTCAGTCTGGTGCTGTGGCTTTGGAGAGCTACTAGATGCAGGCCCTTGCTGCAAGGGTCTGAACTGCTCTAGCACTGGGTTGCCATGTGCCTCCTCTCCCCTCTAGCAGCAGAGCCTGGAGCACAAGCCTGTTCTCATGTGCAGCTTGACCAGCAGCAGGAAATGAGATCTCAGATTGTCTGATCGAGATAGCTCTGTGTGCAAACTCATGAGCGTTAATGCAGAAGCAGTGGGTGAGGGTGAGGTGTGTTTGGATAAATATCCAAAAGGGCAGATGCCTATTTGCTGAGTGCTATCCAAACAAGCATGTGCTTTGGAAGCCTCTTTGGTAGCGCTTGTTTCCAGTACTCGGAGATTAGAGAAGCTTATTTCCAAGTTCAAGAGTCTTCCCATCACTCAGTGGTTTACTTTGTGTCCAGACTAGTCTGCCCTGAGGACCTCACTGTCTTGAGTTGGGTTTTGGCTAAGACTGCTTAAAGGCATCCCCTCTCACAGACTGTTTCTTGGCTCTTTCAGATCTTCCCTGATCCCTCAGACTTTGACCGCTACTGTAAACTGAAGGACCGCCTGCCCTCGATTGTGGTGGAGCCGACGGAGGGCGACGTGGAGAGCGGTGAGCTGAGATGGCCACCCGAAGAGTTCCTCGTGCAGGAAGAGGAGGAAGAGGAAGAGGAGGAAGAGAACTGTGAAGACTCAAAGAAGGACAACAAGGAGCAATAAATGGCATCAGAGGAAAGGCAAGGGACTGCTCCCTTCTGAAGGAAGAGCCACACTTCTTTTGAAAGTCTTTTTAAAGGAAAAGACAAGTTCAACTTTGCACCTGCGAGATCTTAGTTATTTTGTATTCTCTGTATTGAGAACTGAAGCCCTCGGTGTCACCAGACCTCCTGAGGAAGGAAGGAAGTAACGCAGAGAAATGTTTGCTGTTCTCGAGATCATTATCTGTATTTTTCCGAGGCGGAGGCAGCAGTGAAATTCCAAGCACATGGCAGAGGGTGACCATGCGAGGGACCGCTGGAGGGGGGAGCTCGGGGAGGGGGAGGAAAGCCAAAGGTGGCAGCGCTCGGTCCAGAGCTGCCTCTGGCTAAAAGCGTGAGAACAGAGCTGTAATCCCTCAGATTTGCCTTTCTTACAGCTTCCATTTGTGTGTCGGGGGGTGGAAGGGTGTCTGTAGCGAGGCATGGCTAAGTGCTCTACTGATGAGGGGCCTGTAGCTCTCCCCAGTTTGGCACCTCCTAGGGTAACATGAGCATCCATAGGGGAAATTGGGTTTCTTGCTCTTGCTGTTGAGCCTATTTTCCAGCCACTTTTCCCAAAGCTGTTTTTCTCCCCCTCTGCCTTTAGACTCTCCAATGCTGAACAGCTGTATTTGCAGGGTAATATTAGGCTGCTGCTTGTCATCTCTGCTGCGAGGCCCTAGTTTATCTTGCAGGTGGTTAGCATGAGGTAGTGCGCACCAGATGTAAAGATGCTTCTGTCTGCAGCAAGAGCTCACATAGGTTTGAACACCTCAGATTTTCCTCTCCTATTGGCTGAGGCTGCTTTGGTCTTGTCTTTTACAGCACCCAAAGCCAGAGAGTGGAGGTTAAGGTTCCTTACCTTGGTGTCCATGAGGCTGTAGGGTTTCATGTCTCCAACTTGCTGGTCAATGGGCTAGAGAGAGCTAGGGTGGGGATCTCTTCCAGCTTTGCACTGCAGGACAAGCTGGTAGGGGTGTGCATGGTGGGGAGTGCTGCTGGACCTGAGGTAATCCAAAGACAAAACACTCGGATCTAGTGTGGATCACCAGTGGGAAAGGGGGGTTTGCAGAAGGGGTCTGTTGGGAGAGGATTAGCCTGGGTGTCCTGAGACAAGATGTATTTTTTGCTTCATAGCAAGGACGAAACTTTCATGGGTGTTTAATGAGCTGCAGAGTGGCTTGCAAAGTCCATGGTTGTGTCTTCTTCACCATGTCATGCTTTAAGGAAAAGTCATCTGTCTTTGTTTGGGGAGGAGGCCAGTCTTCTGCCAGACAAGGTAACTTGCTGCTTTGCTGGAAAGAGATCTTGCAGCTTTGGGGACCAGCTTGGGAGCCAGTTGGTCTTGGGATAGGATGAGAACAGTTACCACCTAAACCAAATCTGGGGTCATGGAAGAGAAAAAGAAATGTCAAGGCCTTAACCAAACTTTCATAATAATCCCAGTGCCACCCCCCTTTGCTTATAACTGGTTCCATTTTTAAAATCTATTTGGACATGTGTGTATTTGTATTTTTAATACCTCATGAGTAGTTAAACGCTGGTGGGGTTGGGAACTGCTTTTAACATATTGGCAGGATTGTTTTAGTCTTGTCTTGCTTGTGTTTAAACATAATGGCAATAACTTATCAGCTCTGCATAACTGTTTTGGACAGATAGGAGTTTGGAGAGGAGTTAGCACAAAGCAGGAGAAATTCAGTGTTCCTGCACTGTGGCTGGTCCCTGGTCCAGCAATGCAGACCCGGTTATACATGCTCCCTGCCTATCTTGGTGGACAGTTGATCACCAAACCGTCATGATGTGGTGATACCATTTTCTCTAGCAATGGATTCAGCTGTTGTACCTGTAACACTTGTTCTAGTCTTGCTGTCTTACTGGAATGAGCTTGTACACCTGCATACCAGCCAGTCATCTTACTTCTAAGTGTTACTCTCTATTGGTCTCTGCTGTCTGTATCACCAAGTCAAAGCTGTATATCAAAGATATTACCATATGGGCAGCAGTGAGATGGCAATCCTTGGACTTTAGACCTGCTGTCTGCCCTAAAGACTTGCATATTTCTGTCTGCATCCTTTTTTTGGAAGTATTGTGTATATTTCTATTTGTTGTTGAACGTATCTAAAGAACAAAGCACTCCAGTAAAACTCCTCCTGTTGTATGATATACATTCTATATTTCTGTAATTCTTTTTTGAGCCTCAGGGAGAAGCTAGCATTTTTTTCAAACTACATTTTTGTCACTGTGACAGTTGTAAATAAAGTTTGAAAATGCTTTCCAAATATCCTGGCTCTGTTCTTACTGCCAGAGTGGGTTGGGTTGGTCAACCTACTAGTCCTTGTGTTTCAGGTCTGGGCTTACTGACTTGCAAGGCTAATGCAAATATCTGAATAGACTTCTGTCTATCAGTTGAGGCTGTTCTGTGAACTTGGAGACACTTGTTTCAGGGATGTGGCTGACCTCAGAGCATGCCCTATGGGATTATAAACCTACATCAATTTAGGGTGAGGGGCAGCATCTTTGCCTCCATCTTCCCGCAGCTGCTTATTGCTGGGTGAAAGGCTGCACAAAGTGGTACTCCAATTTGGTCCTGGAAAATCTGTGTTTGTATCTATATTTATCTGTAATCTATGTCCAACCCCTTACCTAACCTTTCAGAGCAGGAAGTCATGGAGAGTGGAGGTTATTCGCACCTGATCTTAGGACTAATGCAGTACCTGTGTATGTTCCCTGTGTGTGCCCTTACCCTGCCCTGAGCAACAAGCATGAAGAGAAGCCTTTGCCATGCTGTGTGCTATAAGGGTCTCAGCTGAGCGACCAAAGGGTCATCCACTTTGGCTGGTTTGGGTCTAGAAGTGAACTCTTCTTGTAGTTGGTTGCATCTTGCCACACACCATTGGCTGTGTGCTTCAGCTCATAGTGCTGCCAGAGGAAGACCTGGAGGAAATGGCATTTTGGAGTGTGATTCTGAGCTTGTTTGGTACCAAGGCAGTGTCCTGGATGTAGAAATCTGACCCTGTCAGGATTCAGTAATTCACATTGTGCACTTAATGGGATTAAATTTTCCACTGAAACCAGGTGATAAGAAGCAGATGCCCTGGAATGCCCTTATCTTTTAGATACATGGAGAGAAGTTCCTGTGATTTGGCAAGTAACAGACTCTAATCTTACCTATGCAAACAAGCTGGATTGAGGCTAGAGTATTATGTTTACATGAGACAGGTTTAAATACACTAACTAATGACCCTCAGATTTAATGCTTGATCTGAGATGATGCTTAACATGAGTCCCACAATTTAAAGATGGATTATATAATGTTCAAACCGTATGGATATTCCACACCATAGAAATGTAAATGTGGTGTTGAAGCTTACCTCTCCTTCAATCAACCTCTAGCTAAGGTGCCTTGATTCTTCCTCCTTAGATGTGTATTTACTTGTAGAAGCTGCTGCAGCGTTTCCCAGATGAAGCACTAGTCTGAAATCAGTGAAGATGTTTAGTCCTGCCCCAGAATGTTTCTGATTAAAATACAGCACTGGTTGGGGAAACTACAAATGGATTGAACTTGTCTACAGTGTGCTTGATGGGAACAGGTTTTTCAGGCTCATGTTAGAATGAAGCCACTTGCTCTTTCCTGATGCATCATGCTATTTTGAGGCTGGAGCAGAAGGGATGGCTTTGAGCAGGCTTGCTCTGCCTGGGGGTCTTTGTTGTACGAGCCTGCAGCAGTGCTGGCAGGAGAGTGATGGGGAAGGTGGCTCTTTCCTGGTCCTCTTTTCCAGCTGTTATGGTCAAATGAGACTTGCATCAGCAAGTAAAAATGGGCTTGCTGCTGAATGGGTGTCCCTGAGTCATCCCAAGAACTTGCTGGGTGGCACATAAGGACCTTTCTTTGTACATGGAACAATGATTCTTTTCCTGGCTCTTACTTAAACTTGAGGCATTTGTCCTCCTCAAAGCTTTGCCCTGTATTTACAACTGATGACACGGCAAGCTGTGCACTGCTGCCTTGCTTAGTTCAGCCTGTGTTCAATCTCCCAGATGCTTCATTTATTGTTTTTGGTGTGTATCTGCTTCTGTTTGGCTTAAGCAATGCACACAGTCACTTGAAGCATGCTGCAGATGGACTGTTGGCATCTGGCTTTTCGTATGTTTGGGCACAGCTAGGTAGAACGAGCCTTTGACCAGGAGCACAAAGATAATGCACCACCAGTGCTGCACATGGGGAGCAGCCACCCGCTAGATATGTGTTCTCTTAGTGCAGGTCTGAGATCTGCTCTGGTGAAACCATGCTCCTCATTGCAAGCAGCAGGAGAACCAGCATTGCCTTCCAGGTGAGCTGCCTCCTTCCCATCTTGGCACCTGTAGGAAGTTCCAGGAGCTGAGGACATGGAGTTTCATCCCTGTCATGTTGATCTGCTTTGAGATGCCTTGAAGCACAATCAAAACCAGAACACAATTCCCCAAATGCTAGCCTAGTCACCTGGAACAAAGCGAGGAGCAACAGCCTGTAATACATTTGCTCTGAGCTCTCCAAGAGTGGGCACCAAGCATCTCTGTGTACATGAGCAATTGTTATTCCTGAATCCTTGCTTGAAGAGAAAAGCTCTGGGTGTTTCATGGTTCAAATGATGTCTTTTTGCGTATGTTTGGGTAGGAAAGGAGCAGTTTTAGGAAAGCAAATGCTTGGACCTGAGAGAAGCACTGTAGCATTTAGTTCTGCATGTGTCCAATGCCCCCACAGTCAGTGGCATCCGAGTAAGTGCATCTGTGCTTCCAGGAGCACGCTGCAAATTCCTGTCTACCCATCTTGTGCTGCAGGGTGTCCTGGTCAGAAGCTGGGTTAGAGGGTGAAGGCAGGTTGGTACCCTGTACAGGAGGGCTGTGTCTGAAGGCATGGGGTCTCCCTTGAAGTGCAGCTCTGCCCAGGTCCTCCCTGGTTGAAAAGGTGTCTCCCTCCTACAGCTATCATTCACCTGCAGAAAGGGCTGTGCAAGCCCAGCTGGGGAGCAGCTCTGCTGGAGTAAGCTCCAACTGGTCATAACAAAAATGAAAGCTTGTGAGCATTGCTTTTAGGAGGGGGAGGGATGAGGTTTCAGGCCCAACACCTAGAGAGGAACCAAGTGCAGGGAAAACTGCTTCACCCAGGAAATGCCCAGAACCGTGTGTGAAGGTGGTGGTGAGCAGAGCTGGAGAAAA